TGAATTATTTGGTTCTGGACTATGCTCATTTCACTATGAAATGTTTGTTGAATAAATAATTTGAACCTTTGACTTGCTTTGCATCTTCCTGGGAGAAGTGTAGTTGGAGGGGGTTAATATTTCTTCTCTAAGAAATCTGTCTTGTAGTCTTTCCTAAACCCTTCTTACTGCAGCCTAACCCCAGCAGGACCCCGCCTCCCCCCCCCCCCACAGCGGTCCGGTCACCCACAAATTCCGGGGCCTCGGAGACCACGCCCCTTCCTTTCCGCTTCCGGTTTCTCGCCAGTCAATCGGCCCAGCAGCCCGGTTCCGGCCCTGCGGGGTCTCGGTTCCGGGTTCGTTGCCCCGGTTCCCGGCCCCGGCTGGTCTCCCGGGCCGGCCCGGCCGCGCGCAGCACTCGTTCGGTGTCGGAACTCCCGGGCCCCGCCCCAGCGGCCCCCTCGCCCTCCGCCGGCCCCGGCCCACCTCGCCCCCCGCCCGCGCCATCCTCGCCGCCCCATGGAGTCCCAGTGTGACTACTCCATGTATTTCCCGGCGGTGCCGCTGCCGCCGCGCGCGGAGCTGGCGGGGGATCCGGGCCGGTACCGGGCGCTGCCCCGGCGCAACCATCTCTACCTGGGGGAGACTGTCCGCTTCCTGCTGGTGCTGCGCTGCCGGGGAGGCGCGGGGTCCGGCGCCGGGGGCGGCCCGGGCTTGGGCTCCCGAGGGACCTGGGCAGAACTGGCAACGGCCCTGGCCGCCCTGGCTTCGGTCAGCGCCGGAGGCGGGGCGCCCGGGGGCGGTGGCTCCGCAGACCAGGATCCCGAACCCCCAGGGGGCGGGGATCCTGGCGGTGGGGCGTTGTTTCGAGGCTGCAGCCCCCTCCTCACCCACGGCCCGGGCCCTGCTACCTCAGGGGGAGCGACCACGGTGAGGAGCTTGGGGTGACACGGCACAGGGCGGAGGGGCGGTTTGCTGGGCTCCAGAGACTGGAGGGGATGGACGCTGGGGGCCTGAAGGAGGCAGATGACGGAGGAGAGCGGAGGCCAAGAAGAACCGAGAACATCACATTTAAAGGGAACGCTGCAGGCTGCCTCTTTGACTCTCCCGCCCTCTTACTCCTTTCACAAACCCCAGCTGCCTGTGGAGGAACCAATTGTGTCCACAGATGAGGTCATCTTCCCACTCACCGTTTCACTGGATAGGCTGCCCCCAGGGACACCTAAGGCCAAGGTAAGATTGGCAAGGGGTGGGGCTGTTGTCCTAATTCAGGCTCCCTTTCTAAGTGGCTGTCTCTTGTCTTGACCGAGGTCCTGTGTCCTTTGTGCTCAGATTGTAGTGACTGTGTGGAAACGGGAGGTTGAGGCACCAGAGGTCAGAGACCAAGGCTACTTGCGCTTGCTGCAGACCCGATCTCCGGGGGAGACCTTCCGGGGGGAGCAGAGCGCTTTCAAGGCCCAAGGTGGGGAGAATGCAGAGAGGAAACGCTGGAGTCTGGAACTTGGGGGACAGAGTGGAGGGGTAATACTGGCAAGTGCATGATCTGGGGAGCAGAGTAAGATTAGAACTGCGGGTTGGAGGTGAGGTCTCTACCCAGCTCATCAGTTCTTGCCTGGGCCCTCTCCTGCAGTGAGCACCCTGCTGACTCTGCTGCCCCCTCCGGTTCTGAAATGCCGCCAGTTCACTGTGGCTGGAAAACACTTGACAGTGCTCAAGGGTGAGCAGATCTGTGGCTCAGGTCTTTGGTAGCAGCAAGGGCACTGACTGGGTGGCAGTTACTCTGGGCACACTGGTGGGGATCGGTCCAATTTTGGAGGGGTAAAGTCGGGGCTTGAGGGGTCCAGGTACTCTTAGCTGAGCTGAGCTGCTTACCTCCAACAGTGCTGAACAGCTCCTCCCAGGAGGAAATTTCCATCTGGGATATCCGTATTCTCCCAAACTTCAATGCTAGTTATCTACCTGTCATGCCCGACGGCTCAGTGCTGCTGGTGGACAATGTCTGGTGAGGTCCTGGGGAGGGGGCAGGGCTGCAAAGTGGGGATGGGGGCAGGGCCAAGAGCTCTGGCATGAAAAGATCAAGCTCTGTCCCTCTTTCTGCTGAACTAGTCATCAATCTGGGGAGGTATCCATGGGCTCCTTCTGCCGGCTCCCTGGTACCTCTGGCTGCTTCCCCTGCCCGCTTAGTGCCCTGGAGGAACACAACTTCCTGTTTCAGCTGAGAGGGGGTGAGCAACCTCCTCAAGGGGCCAAGGAGGTGAGTATAAGAGGCTGGTATGCTCGAAGAGCAAGGTTAAGAAAAAGCAGCGGGAGGGAAAGGCCAGGGGGTGACAAAAGATGGAAGGGGACCTCAGATACACAGGCTGTTTCCTTTTGTCTCTCCTACAGGGCCTAGAAGTTCCCCTGATTGCTGTGATTCAGTGGTCTACTCCAAAGCTGCCCTTCACCCAGAGCATCTACACCCACTACCGGTGAGTTTGTGGGACTCCCCGCTGGGCACCGTCCTGTTCACCTATTTGGCAACACACGCCCCGCTTCCCTCTCTCACTGCTTCTAGCCTGCCCAGCATCCGCCTGGACCGCCCATGCTTTGTGATGACTGCCTCTTGTGAGTCCCCCGTTCGGACTTACGAGCGATTCACGGTCACCTACACACTGCTCAACAATCTCCAAGACTTCCTTGCTGTGAGGCTTGTGTGGACCCCAGAGCACGCACAGGCTGGTAGGTGGGCTGTCAGGCTCTGGGACCTTGTCCCAAAAGAGGAGGGGAAAGGAAGTCATGGAGGTGGGTGGCTTGTGGCAGGCTACCTTGGCTTTGTACCATGGTGGTCTCCACAGTGTCACCGATGGAAAGCTTACAGAAGCAGCAGGACAGGGATTTTAAGGGCATTGAGCCTGGGTCTGGGCTCCCTGGTATATTTGATTTCTACCTCTGCCATTAACTAGCTGTGTGACCTTAGGTAGGTTACTTAATCTCTCTGAGCCTCACTCCCATCCCTCTTCTCTAAAATGGGGGAAATAATATCTCATGGGATTGTTATGGTGATTTAATGGTTAACATAAGTGAAACGGTTAGAATAGACTTCAGCACACAGTAAGTATTAGCTGTTGTTATTTATAAAGTTCAGCAAAAGATGACACATACTCAGTTTGCCGCACAGAGGGGCTCTGAGGATCAAATGAGACTGTGCTCATGAAAGCCCTGTGTGAACAGAGGAGCACCATACAGATGTGTTTAGTGGTGGCTGTTTCTGTGTCATCCCGCCCCCCCACCGCCCCTCCAGGAAAGCAGCTGTGTGAGGAGGAGCGCCGGGCCATGCAGGCAGCCCTGGACTCCGTTGTCTGCCACACGCCCCTCAACAACCTAGGCTTTTCCCGGAAGGGCAGCGCGCTCACCTTCAGTGTGGCCTTCCAGGCTCTGAGGACGGGGCTCTTCGAGGTGGGCTGGGGAGGGGCTGGACTGTGTGATGGGCTATGCAGAGTGTCGGGGTGGGAGGAGTCAGCCACCAGCCTCTGTGGACGAAACACCACGGGTGGTACTAAACAGCAGGGGTGGAGGGAAGGTGGAACTTCAATCCCACACTGGCGGGGCAAGTGGGGAACTTGATTGGAAAGGAAGGTTGGGGCCTGGAGGCCAAGCTGGAATGCTGACTTGTGTCTCCCCGCTCCAGCTGAGCCAGCACATGAAACTGAAGCTGCAGTTCACAGCCAGTGTGTCCCACCCTCCGCCCGAGGCCCGGCCCCTCTCTCGAAAGAGCAGCCCCAGCAGCCCTGCTGTCCGGGACCTGGTGGAGCGACACCAGGCCAGCCTGGGTCGCTCTCAGTCCTTCTCTCACCAACAGCCCTCCCGCAGCCACCTCATGAGGTATGGACACGTGGGAGGGGGTGCCACTGGTCTCAGTAGAGGCCGGAGTTGGAGCGGGAGCCCAAAGGGTCCCCGGGGTCCGACCGGAGCCCACAGCCTCTGCCTTCCCCCAGGTCGGGCAGCGTGATGGAGCGCAGGGCCATCACGCCCCCTGTGGCCTCCCCTGTGGGCCGCCCCCTCTACCTGCCCCCGGACAAGGCTGTGCTTTCTCTGGACAAGATTGCCAAGCGTGAGTGCAAGGTCCTGGTGGTGGAGCCTGTCAAGTAGCACCGTGCGGGCTCTCCTCCCTCTTACACTCCCAGAAACCGAAAGCCCCTGGATGGGGTCCTCGCTGCAGACTCTGCCTCCCCTGGGATGCCTCCCACCGTGGATGAGGCCCAATAGGGCCGCCTGTCTGTGTCTGCTGATGAGGGACGAGGAAAGAAGCTGTGAAATGGGCGGGTATGGCTACAGCACTAAGCCAACAGTATTTCTCCGACTCCCTGGGGGGGCTGGCCCCACCCCGAGGCCAGGGCAGGGGCTCCAAGAGCTCCCTTGCCCCCCGCCCTGTACCCTGGTTCTAAGTTTACAAAGTGCATTCCTTGTTCCTATTAAGTTGTCCCTCCTGCCTCTGACATTCTCTCCCTCCCTCCCACCCACCCGCAGGGCTGAGATTAGAGGGTGGTGATGGTAAAGGGACCCCGACAATGACCCTCCTGTCTCAGGGGAAAGGGGAGATAGCCAGGTGGCCTCCTCCTGCCCCTCATGTTTACGTTTGCAGCCTGAAGCACTTTAAGTTGTGTGGGGTTTTCTTTTCTTTCTTTTTTTTTTTTTTTTCCATCTGTCTGTTCCGGGAACTTATTCTCCAACTACTGCTTCCAACTGAGATAAGACTATTAAATGCCTGTTCAGGAGGGAGAAGAATGACTTTCGTTTGTGTGTTGGCGGCAGGAGCAGAGGCCCCAGGGGCTCGGAGTGGTTCCCTTCAGCATGCACACCAAGTAGCTCCCCTCAGCTCCCTTCCTACCATACTATTCTCTGATTGTCAGTTTTATGTGCCCAGGTGCTTTGCCCCACTCCTCTGGGCCCACATACACGACTATCTCCCTTGAAGACAGAAGACAGACTTGGGGTGTACCCCCCCCGTCACACCCTCTCATACACACATCCCTGGGTCTGGGAACATCAGACTCATGTTTATTAGGAGGGAGGGAGGGAAGAGGGAGATCCCCCTGCCCTCACTCTCCCTGACACAGTGCAAAGTTCCCAAGCCTCTGCCCTTCCAGGTAGGGGTGGGGAAGTGGGTGAGGAGAAAGCCTTAGTTCTAGCAGCAAGCCAAGAAAGAGATGGAGGAGGTTTGTGTCTTCCTCATCACAGAGGCCCATGGACCCAATCCACCTCTGCCCCTTGCCCTCTGGCAGGCTCAGACGTCAACAGGCTCCCGGCCTCGGTTCTGCCTCTTCACCACAAATACCCTCTGTCCTGACACGGTCACCAGCAGCGTGTGTTCTCCAAAGACCACTGGAAAGGAGACACACCTTCCCCCGCCCGGGAGAGGGAAGGGAGCACAGAGTTAGTGGGGTACAACGGCCTCTACAGGGTCACACAAGCTGGTGGGATCAAAAGCCAAAGGCATTCGATAGTTCAAGGCTCAGAGATTTGAAGATAGGAGGGCTCCATTATGTCCCCCTCCCTCTCTTGCTTTCTCATAGTTCTGATGCAGGGGTGAATCCCAAAGGGACCAGGGACCCCAGGGGGAGATGGTGGGAGGTTGGCAGGAGACAGCCGTTTTCTCCCCCCAGCCCTGAGAAGACAAGCCTCTGGGAGCAACCCTCATCCCCTCCCACCACCATCACCAGGGGGGCAGGGGCTGAGGCTCACCCGACAGGCGCTTGAAGGGTATGCTTGTGCTGTGGTGCAGCCGGAAACCACAGGCCGTACTGACCAGCTCAGAGATGGCACTGGCTGCCTGCTCGTCATTCTCTAGATCCCCAGATGACTGCATGCAGAGGGAAGAGGAAGGATGGCAGAGATTAGGGAAAAGAATTGGCAAAGAATCCCGTAACAGTCACTCTGGCTCTAGCATTTGTAACCTCTCCCTCTCAACTTTCCAGTACCCCTAAGGTCACCCCCATTTTTGGAAAAATAAACCTGAAACTTTCCTATGATATTGTTGCCCCTCTTGATGCCATCTTGTTTCTCATCCTTACAAAATGGGGCTTCGCCCACTGAGCAGTGACTCTCATTCGTTTCTTTTTCTTTTTTTTAAAGATTTTATTTATTTATTTGAGAGAGAGAAAGAGAGAGAGAGCACATGAGAGGGGGGAGGGTCAGAGGGAGAAGCAGACTCCCCGCCGAGCAGGGAGCCCGACGCGGGACTCGATTGCGGGACTCCAGGACCATGACCTGAGTCGAAGGCAGCCGCTCAACCGACTGAGCCACCCAGGCGCCCCCTCATTCATTTCTTTACTGACCATTCTTTCCTAATCACTGAAACTTGGTTTCTCCCTCTCTCCCCACTGACTGATAAAACCATCCTCAAACATCTCTGCCCACCCACCACTGACAGGTTCAGGGACCCCTCCAGAGCTCTTTTCCTCGGTCTTTCTGCTTGTTGCCCTGTCTGCAGAATCGGAAACATAAACGAACACCCCCTTTGTCCTTGAGCCCCTCCCTCCCACCTAGCCCTTGGGGGTGATGTGACTGTGGCCTAGGCTTCCTCTTTTCTGCTGACTGTCTCAATTTCCTCTCCCAACTTCCTCAACATGGACCTCCCAACTAGGTCATGTTCAGGCCCTTTGCTCTCTTGGACATTCTGTACCTCTGTTTTCTCATCTGTAAATTGGGACAAGTTCCTATCCATGGGCTCGTTGTGAGGACTACACGGAGATATTGGTGAGATGCTCAGAACAGCTCCTGGCAATATATACTAACTGCTACCCTTCTATATCAAAATGTCTTAAGTCATCACAATTCTCCTTACCTCATCCCCTCCCCAATCAACTTCCTTTCTTAATTTCCTGTTTGTTAAGGCACCATCATTCTAGGCTTGGGTTCAGTCTTACTAGATGAAGAAGTATCCTCTCTAATACCTATCTCTAGTCATTACCAAGATACACTGATTCTTCCTTTAAAATTTTTTCTCTCCTTGCTCCTCTTCACTGCCACCAGACCTGTCTCATACCTAGATTTTCGCAGCAGTTCCCCCTACTTCTGAATCCCACCCCTTCCAGCTGTCTTCACACCTAATAGAATAATTTTGCTCAACTATTTCCTTAGCTCACATTTCCGTTCGAAACCCTTCAAAGCTCCCATTACCCTCAAGATTAACCCAAATGTGTCAACCCAGCCTTGAAAGTCCTCCACAATGAGATCCTTCCTTACCATATCTTCTTCCAAACCTTTCCAAATCTTTTCAACACAAACCCACCACTCCAACCCTGAGTACTCTCCTTTTCTGCCTGTTCACAACCATCCATCCTTTAAGCCCAGCTGAATTCTTAGAGTCTCCTTGTTATAATGTAAGTTATAACACAAGGGTTGAATCCTTCATTTTCTGGTCTCCTTCACTAGTCTTTACCACTTGCATTGCTTTCAACTTTTATCCTTAAGCCTTGTCTCTCCAGCTCCACTAAAAACTTCTATAGAGCTTAACACTATATTGTACTATGAAACAAAATTCAAAGCCTCTTAAATACCAAATAAAGACGTATTCGAAAAAACTTGGATAATATCAGTTATCAACAATCCTGTAACTAGTTGTCTTTGTTAGTCATTAAACCTCTTTTAACTCAGAAGTTACCAGACTATGATTCCAGGATTTATTTGGTTAGTTACTGAAAGCTTACTATCTGCCAAGCATGATAGCTAAGACCTAGAATACAGACAACTCAGGCTAAACCGGGCGATGTTAAAAGGGATCACGGGGCCATGTATCCTTGGTGGACCCCCTCCCTTGCCCAGAACGCACCGCCAGCACTGCGCCTTCACTCAGCACCAGGTAGCCAAGCTGGTCTGGGATTCGCTCCAGCCCCTGGGTCAGTGCAGAAGTCTAGTAGGTAAAGATGCAATTAGTGAGAAGCATGCCAGGATGGCCCTAGATGCCTTTCACTTGCAACCCCAAGTCTCCCTTGACAAGGCACCCCCAAACCTTCTCTTTCCCGACCCTCTTTGCTCTACAAAGCCTTCAACACTGATCATGCTGAGCTTCCCACCTTCTCACCCTCTGACCCTGGGCTCCCCTGGCCTCCACAGCTACACTGTTCCCATCCCGCCACCTCCCCCCCCGCCCCATCTCCAATTCCCCCGGTGGGCCGCCCCACCCCCGCAGACTACTCCCCAGCGCCCATACAGCCTCGCACGGATCCCTCTTCAACCCTCTACGTCGCCTCCCCTCCCATCTCCATTCTCTCTGCGTCTCGGGGTGGATAGGAGGTAAGGGCGGAGTACAGGCCCAAGTGGGGGGAACCGAAGAGATTAGGGAACAGGGATGCAGAACCCCTAGCGCGTACTCCCGCGCATGCGTCCTCACTCACCATCGCAGCCTTAGGTGCTGGGGGCGCTCCTTATCAGATAGGTAGCTTCCGGCTCCAGACCCAGGTCACGTGCTTCCACCGGGCTGTCCCCTCCAGCTTTGCGCCTCACGATTTTAGCTCCGCCCCCAAAGTGTGGATTGGAACACGAGTACATCATCAGCCTTAATCTACCAGTGCGGAGCGCCGCTTCCCGAAGACGCAAGCGGATTGGTCGCAGGCCCTCCTTCACAGCCCTCTCCCCGCCCCTCAGCCCCCGAGCTCTAGGGGAGGGGGCGTGTCGGCGGAGGGAGGGGCCTGGAGGGGCGGGACCGGAGGGAGGAGGGCGGGCTGAGGGTGTGCGCCTGCGTGCAGAAGGACAGACAGTCCCTTTAGGCGAAACTGCGCACCAGTGAGACTACAAGTGAGAGCGTAAAGTAAAGTGACGTGAAATGCACGTGAAGAGCTAGTCAAAGGCTACTCTTATCCCTACTCCAGGAAACTATCCCTTTAAGACAGGGATTTGTTCCCAAAATGGCTTTTCCTCCCGGGATTCTGTGAGGAACGTTGTGACGGTGAGTCGAGTCCCCCGCCTCCTCCCCTCAGGCGAGGCAGCCGCGAAGCTGAATATTCTCTGCCAGGAAAAATTAGAAACAGTACTCTGAAGTCGTTTTTTTAATACCTGAGTGTCACCTCGAAAACTTTTGTTTTAATTTAGATAGTTTCCAGACCCACAATACCAATGTGACTGAGAAGGTGTTGGTGAGGTAAATTGAAGGTTGATTCTAGAAGTAATAAGTACTCGGTGAAGATGTGGAGAAATTGGCGTCCTCGTGCAGTGCTGATGGGGCTGTGAAATGCTGCAGCTGCTGTGGAAAACCCATCAGCGGTTCCTGGAAAAATTCAACTAGAGTTATTCTAGGAGCAGCTCCACTCCTAGATGGACTCGAGAGAACTGGAAACATCCACCCAAAACACTTGCACACCTATGTTCATAGCAGCGTTAGTCATAATAGCCCAAGGACGGAAACCACCTAAATATCCATAAACTCAGCAACAGGTAAATAAAACAGTGGTATATCCAGGGGCGCCTGGGTGGCTCAGTCGTTAAGCATCTGCCTTTGGCTCAGGTCATGATGCCAGGGTCCTGGGATGCCAGGGTCCTGGGATCGAGCCCCGCATCGGGCTCCCTGCTCAGCGGGAAGCCTGCTTCTCCCTCTCCCACTCCCCCTGCTTGTGTTCCCTCCCTCGCTGTGTCTCTCTCTGTCAAATAAATAAAAATCTTAAAAAAAACAAAAACAGTGGTATATCCATACAACGGACTCTCATCCGGCTGTAAAAAGGAATGAAGTATTGGTAAGTCCTACAACATGGATAAACCTTGAAAACATGACGCCAAGTGAAAGCCATCAGATACCAAGGCCACACAGAGTATGATTCTATTTATGTGAGATGTCTAGGCAAATCCATAGAAACAAGAAGCAGATCAGTGGTTGCCAGGGGCTGAGGGGAGGGGGAAATGGGGAGCGACTCCTAATTGGTGATGAAAATGTTCTAGGATGATAGAGTGATGACAGTTACACAGACTGTAAATGTAGTGAAACCACTGAATTGCACACTTTAAAACAGTGAATGTTGCGGTATGTGAATTATATCTCAATAAAATAAAACTAAGTACTGTTGCTTGAGGAGAAGTTTCATTAGAGAAGATGGATGTCTTTTTTTAATGAGGTATGTTTGGTTTTTTTTTTTTTAGAGAAAGAGAGTGCATACACGAGTGGGGGAAGAGGAGCAGAGGGAGACAGAATCCCAAGAGGCTCCACATTGAGCACAGAGCCCAACACGGGGCTCAATCCCACAATCCTGAGATAATGACCTGAGCCAAAATCAAGAGATGGATGCCTAACCCACTGAACTGCCCAGATGCCCCAAAATAAGGTATATTTATAACGTAAGTTAGGAGGAGGATGTAGAGACAACGTTATGTGGAGATGCTTAATTTGCAAAGGCTCCTGTTGGCCTTAAATATTGATGACACTTCGTAGCATCATTTTCTTTAACTCACTCTTCAGAGCATTTTTACCTATCCCTCTTATTAGCCACATTGTAATAGTATCCCCGTTTTGCGGATGAGGAAGTGCAAATTTAAGAGAGGTTGAGCCCTGCTCACAGGCACACGAGCTGGCAAGTGGCAGAGCCAGATTCCAGTCTAAGTTTGCTGGCGCTGAGTCTGATGCTTTTCCCATTGCTCCATCAGCCAACTACAGTTATTATTACTTTTTAAAGCTACATTTAAGTTTACCTCAGAAATTCCCTGTTTTTATTTTACTTGACACAGAGGAGCCCTTCACAGGACAATGCTCATCAGCCATCATCAGAATTGTTTCATCTTCACAAATCATACTACTTATGTAGTGAGCAGAGTTTCTCATTCTTTCATTCAACCAGTGTTTATTGAGCACCTTCTGTGTACCAGACACTCTTCTTGGATTTGGAAATGTTATCTATCTACCTATCTCAAAACGATAAAGATCAAGGGAATGATTTTTAAAAATTGGAATAGTGGTTACTTCTGGGATTGAGAGGGGGATGGGATAGAAAGAGATACAAAGGGTTTCAAAGTATTTATTGATAATTGCTGTAGTCTGAATGCTTATGTGTCCCCACCCCCAAATTCACATATTGACCCAGATCCCTATTTTGATGATATTTGGAGGTTGGGACTTTGGGAAGTGCCTGGAAACTACACATTCCTTTATTTTCCCCCAACTTGACCCCTCCCAACATACATACTCTGTCCCACCAGGATCTAAGGGGCTGATATCTCTAGTGTAGCACTTATTGCACTTCACTGCTACTCTTTGTTTGCCTGCGTAGCTCACTTATAAGCTGAGCAGTACGGGGGTCAGGGCTGTGATGTTTTCAACATTTTATTTTCATACATAATGACTATTACCCTTCAAAAAGTGCTGGTTGAATGGATGTTTCAGGGTTAAGAGCCAGGAAAGGCAGAGTCAGGGTTGGGAAGTCTGTAGATGGTTGTATATAATTTAGACTGTTGTTTGACCAAACCACTGGGTCCCGTAGCCTAGCCAAGTTGACACATAAAATGAACCATCACAGCCACAAAACCCAAAGAGGGTGGGTGCCCCTTTGCTGTGATGGTCTCTGTGGCAGCATTCATACCTGGGCCTGTAGTTGTGGGTAATCCTTTCCCACTGGTTTTCTCCTGCCTCCAACCAGGAGTATTATGGGATAACTGAGCAAAGGGGAAGGAATGTGCTTTGTAAGTACATATCTTGGGGGAAGCACTGGTGAGCCAGAAGGGGAGGAGGCATTTGAGTGTCTGGGGCCTGGCAGCCTGTGAGTGCTGGGAGCCCATGTAATGTTGGAGAGTCCACTTCCTTGGTTCTCTGTGGCCAAGCGGCGACAAAGCCCATCTAACATACACAGGCTCTCTCAAAGCTCAGGCCACCTCATTTCTCAAATTTGGTAGTATGTGAAAAACCAAAAAGAAGCAAAAACAGGGTTCCAAAATTATGGCGCAATTGAAATGGTTCCATTTAACAAATGAATGCTTTTAACACAGAGATATTACAAAGCTTTATGATTTTGACAGTCCTACAATAATTGCCAGGTTTACAGAGTTAATCTGTGAGGCAGGATGCTGTAATGAGACACCAGTTAAGTTGTAATCTGAAAAGTCTCCTTCCTTTCTTGTGGGCATGTCTCTGGCTGAATATATAACCAACCCCCTTTAGAGGGAACATTCAAAACCTACATTTGAGGCTTTCGTGAATGTGAAGCCCAGGCAAAAAGTCCCGCTCCTCCTGGGCTAGGCTCCAGATACAGCTTTAACACGCCTGAATTTCTAGTTATTTTTTATGACCTGAAGGAGGGGGTCCCAGACAGAATTAATAATGTGGTCATGAGTCACATCCTCAGCCCTGGCCTCATACTTTTTTTCCAGTTATAGATTCACACTCAACTGAAGTTATAGTTCCTTCTAGGATTTAAATTTTTCCTCTAGGGCTAGAAGGGATGAATTCATTCATTATTGAAAGCTACGACTCTATGGCAGCCCCTGTTCTAGAGGCTGTGGGTAGAACAAAGATCTCTACCCTCGTGGAGCTTATACTCTAGTGGATGGAGACAGAAAACAAGCAATACATATAAAAGGAAAATTAAGTAGTGTGTCAGAAGATGATAAGTGGTATGGGGAAAAAATCATCAAGGTAAATGGGGGCCAGAGTGTGGAGGTAAGAGGGGACATGCTACAGTATTAAATAGGGTGGTCATGGTAGGTCTCTCTGAGGAGACGTTGAGAAGACTCAGGCAAAGACTGAAAAGAGGTGAGGGAGTCAACCTGGAGGAAACCTGGGAGAGAGTATCCATGGCAGAGGTAACTATCACAAAGGCTCAGTGTGTGTGTGTATGAATGTGCATGACTGATATACTTGAGAATCAGCAAAAAAGCCAATGTGGCTGAAACTGAATGATCAAGGGGAGAGTAGTAGGAGAAAAGTTCAGGGAGGTAATGGAGGCCAGATGATGTACAGCTGTGTAGGAATTTGGTTTTTCCTTTTAGTTGTTGTGAACCTACCCCCCCCATTATTATGCCCCTTAGGAGACTCTTTAGATTTCATTTCCTAATTGCTGCCCTCTCATAAAATTTTAATACCATAGACATAACTTATATTTGTTTATGTACTGTGGCCTTCGGAGGGTCACAAACCATTGTAATATCCAAAATTTTTTTTTACCCCCTGACCCCTAAGAAACAGCTTTCATCCCCTTGGAGATGATATTGCTCCTGTTGAGAATGCATACTGAGTGAAATAGGGAGTCACCAGGGAGTTTAAACAGAGAAATAACATGATCTCATTATTAAAAGGATCATTCTGGCTGTTATGTTGAGAAAAGACTGGAGGAAGGTAAGTGTGGAAGCAACAAGACCAATTAGGTAAGAGATTATGGTGACATAGACCAGGGTGGTGGTAGTGGAGATATTGAGAGGTAGTAAGATTATAAATACATTTTAAAGGTAAAACCAATAAGATTTCCTGATGCACTGAATGTAGGATATAAGAAAAAAAACAAAGCAATAAGAATGAT